ATATATATATTGTTCTGGTCCTCCGAAACCATTGGGCAGAGGAAGCAACCAAATGGGAAACCAATGGACTAGCAACACATGAGAAATATACTATTTAATTGATTTCTTGTTACGCACTGTATTATAATCGTGATTATATCAAGCGTTCTGTGTTAAACAGAGCAGCTTGCCTCGCACGCCTGTCGCCATTGTAAAACTCTATCTAAACCATTTTTTGTGTTTTTATTCAACTCAATCATAAACGCAACTATGCGTTGGGTGATCTTACTCAAAGTATCTTGTGATGGCGTTTGCATTTTGTGTAGAAGTGTGCTTCACTTGGGAGCCTCAGCAGAGTGCACAGTTACGGATTGTCGTAACCTTGTCTTGTGGCAGCAGTTGAGCACAATTTGATGTGGCCTTGCACACAAAAGCCGACCATCAGTGATGAACAAAGAAGTGAACTAGGTTACCCCAAATACGCAGGCAAACAGTATGATGATTTCGTCGCACGTTGACGGTACACGGAATGGTGAGTTCTACCAATGAGTTGCACCGAACAGAACGAATACAGACAGGAGGCGTGGAATTACCTTCGTCGGTTTCACCTTCCTCACTTGAGATCAGGATCAAGCCGCGTTCAGTGAACTCGACATCCGGAGCAAGCATGCCCAGATGACGAATGAGGATGGAATCCCGAACGATGCGCAATGTCAACAGGGAAGGATCACAATAGAGGCGCAACTGGGACTTAGTGACCGCAGGACTACAAACCAAACAGGACGGGTTTGGTGGAGGTGGTTCACATGGCACAACCAAACGGCGATTACCGCGACGACCGGTAGGATTCCGATGCAAGTAAACTGTGCGAACAAGCTGCGACATATTGAGAAAAAAAATCACACGGCAATTTCAACACGAAAATTATCAACCAATTTAAATTTAAACAAACTTACTTCAAGTAAGTCACAAAACAGAAAGTCGTTGAAAACTCTGGTTTGTGTGGTGATAATACTGAGCAATATGGAGAGACTATTTTGGTTAGTTCAATCACGGTATATGTTGGACAGTGAGGATTACGAGGCATGCATGAAATTAATCTGCTATAATACGGATTCTCATTTGTAGGAGCTTGTTATCACGGGAACAATCGAATCTTCCAGAACGAAGGACTACTTGTAGCTAAAAACAACCAATTTAAAGACTGCACCAGGAAGATGTTCCCTTAACGTGAATCAAGTTTGTGGTACAGCTGAATGAGTGTAAGTACCTATTATCACAGTTAATATTTGTTTGCTTACCCACCCGCTTTAAACGTTTATCGCAACTCAATGGTTCCCTATCTGGCTCGTATTCTCACTGATAAGGTGAAGATCCGAAAGGAACTAATTTTAAACCCACGATGTGTTCTGGAATACTAGAAGCAGGTGTTGGTCACGATCAGCCGACTAAGGTCAGCGAATATGACTAGGCGGTCGTTATTTTCGCACGTTGACCCAGGTCGAACCTCTCCAGGATATGCCGAGTATGCTCGTCTGATGGACCAGTGGATGCATTCCAGTCTCCCTCGATAAGGAGAATATCGCATCTCGGACTGCCGTTATAGAAGTCGTCCTTGATGGGCGCTTCTACATGTAATGTTGGAGGATAGACAGTGACGGTAGTCA